GCGCGGACAGTCCTCACGGGTACTGAAAAGACAAGATGAACACGGCAGACGACAACTCCTGTGGTGTCTGCCGTGCTCCTGTGGTCTGCCGTGCACCTGTGGGGTCTGCCGTGCTCCCGTGGGGTCTGCCGTGCTCCTGTGTGGTCTGCCGTGCTCCTGTGGTCTGCTGTGCTCCTGTGTGTCTGCCGTGCTCCTGTGTGGTCTGCCGTGCTCCTGTGTGATCTGCCGTGCTCCTGTGTGGTATGCCGTGCTCTTGTGGTCTGCCGTGTTCCTATGGGGTCTGCCGTGCTCCTTTGGGGTCTTCCGTGCTCCTTTATGGTCTACCGGGCTCCTGGGCTCCTGTGTGGTCTGCTTTGCTTCTGTGGGGTCTGCCGTGCTTCTGTGTGGTCTGCCGTTCTCCTGTGAAGTCTGCCATGCTTCTTTTGTGGTCTGCCGTGCTCCTGTGTGGTCTGCCGTGATCATGTGGGATCTGCCGTGTTCCTGTGTGGCCTGCCGTGCTCCTGAGGCGTCTGCCGTGTTCCTGTGGGGTCTGCCGTTCTCCAGTGTGGTCTGCCGTACCCTGGTGGTCTGCCGGTTCTTTTGGGGTCTGCCGTGCTCCTTTGGTGTCTGCTGTGCTCCTTTGGTATCTGCCGTGCTCGTGTGTGGCTTGCCGTGCGTCTGTGTGGTCTGCCGTGTTCCTTGAAGTCTGCGGGGATCCCGTGAGGTCTGCCGTGCTTCTGTGTGCTCTGCAATGCTCCCGTGGTCCTGTGCGGTCTGCCGTGCTCCTGTGTGGTCTGCCGCGCTCCTGTGTGGTCTGCCGTGCTCCTGTGTGGTCTGCCGTGCTCCTGTGTGGTCTGCCGTGCTCCTGTGGTCTGTCGTGCTCCTTGGTGGTCTGCCGTGTTCATGCGGGGTCTGCCGTGCTCCTGTGTGGTCTGCCACCCTGGCTCTAAAAACGCTGTCTTGGGATACTGCCATGGCTGTGGTATGCCGTACTAAAGACGGCTTCTAAAAACGCTGTGGTATGCCGTACTAAAAACGTGGAATATCTCATAAGCCCAGGGGACAAAAAGAATCGCAACCACTTTGTACCTGTGTTACCTTACCTTAACAACACTGAAGCCGTGCGCTGGTTGCCCTGGTGAGCGGATAGCGCGATTGCGATGCGGGCTGTCAAGTGCACTTTGCTCATTGTCCGAAATCTTAGTGCATTTGGTGTGAGTAAGGCTTTTGACCCAAAGACGTGCATGAAAGTACCTGCCGTGCTCCTGTATAGTCTGCCGTGCTTCTGTGTGGTTTGACGTGTTGCTGGTTTGCCCCCTCAGCATTTTCTTGACGTGTTGCTGGTTTGCCCCTCAGGATAACTTCTTGACGTGTTGCTGGTTTGCCCACAGGATAACTTCTCGACGTGTTGCTGGTTTGCCCCCTCCGCACCTTCTTGACGTGTTGTTGGTTTGCTCCCCTCAGGATAAATTCTTGACGTGTTGCTGGTTTGCCTCCTTCAGGCCAACTTCTTGACGTGTTGCTGGTTTGCCCCTAGGATAACTTCTGGATCTGTTGCTGGTTTGCCCCCTCAGCCCTTCTTGGCGTGTTGCTGGTTTGCCCCCCCCCCCCCTCAGGGTAACCTCTTGACGCGTTGCTGGTTTGCCCCCGGGATAACTTCTTGACGTGTTGCTGGTTTACCCCCCAGGATAACTTCTTCACGTGTTGCTGGTTTGCCCCCTCAGCACATCTTGACGTGTTGCTGGTTTGGTCCCCTCGGGATACCGCATTGACGTGTTGCTGGTTTGCCCCCCCAGGATACCTTCTTGACGTGTTGCTGGTTTGTCCCCTCAGCACCTTCTTGACGTGTTGCTGGTTTGCCCCCTCAGGATGACTTCTTGGCGAGTGGCTGGTTTTGCCTCAGGGTAACTTATTGAGGTGTTGGTGGTCGACCACCTCAGCACCTTCTTGGCGTGTTGCTCGTTTGCCCCCCTCAGGATAACCTTTGACGTGTTGCTGGTTTGCCCCGTCAGGATAACTTCTTGACGTGTTGCTGGTTTGCCCCCCTCAGCATTTTTTGGACGTGTTGCTGGTTTGCCCCCTCAGGATAACTTCTTCACGTGTTGCTGGTTTGCCCCCCCAGGATAACTTCTTGACGTGTTGCTGGTTTGCCCCCCAGGATAACTTCTTGACGTGTTGCTGGTTTGCCCCCCTCAGCACCTTCTTGACGTGTTGCTGGTTTGCCCCTTCGGGATAACTTATTGACGTGTTACTAACCCCTTCGGAAGACAAACATGACAAACCACAGAAACACAGCATACCACCGCAGGACGGCTGCCGCATAATGCTCCTGTGGACTGCCGTGCTCCTGCGGTCTGCCGTGCCCCTGCTGCCTCCCCCGTACGAGGGTGCAAGGAGCGGAAAAAGACGAGGCCGCTGGAGAGAAGGAGAAGGAAGGAGCACGGACAGGGATCATTTCCAGAACACCCCGTCCTTCTCCTGGAACGTCAACCGCATCCCGACGTACAGTGGAAGTATGCCTGGCAAGCTTTGAGTGTCTCGGGGCGACGCTCTGCGCAAAAGCTCTTCCCTGACGTGTGGCATTTTGCGATCATCTTTCGAATGCACCGCCTCATCCCTGGCCTGTACGATGAATAGCGGCTTATGCCCACAAGACGTAGCTGCCTTGGCGTTCACGAGCGAGCGATGCACGCGGATCTTGTGGCGATGAACAATGAACTGCCAGTCGTATTTACTGAAAGGAGAACTCCCCTCGGAAAGTCTCTGGTCGTTCCGCTCCATGATGCGATCCAGGTACATCTGCCAACACTCGTCAGAGATACCCTTGCCGTCTCGCATCTCCGCGAGTAACTTGCTGAGCTTACCCGGGGCGCGAATGTTCACGTCAAGGCACACGACATGCCGTACCCGTTGCCACAACTGAACCCCCTGAGCGGCATCGGCGAGCTTCTTTCGCTTCACGTCCTGATCCTTTGCGTCGGGGTTCTCAGGGGCCGCGTCCAGGGCGCCAGTCTCCTTCAGAGGAGTCGCTAAACTCTTCTGCGCGTCTCCTGGATCCACGGGGGGCAACTGCAAAAAGTCTCCAGAAAGAATCATACCGAGGCCCCCGAAGGGTTTCCTGTCATCCTTCGCCTCCCTGATGCGGACCTCGGAGGCATGGAGCTGGTCACTGGAGACCATGGAGACTTCGTCAATGAAGCACGCGCGAGCTTTCTTCCAGCGTTGTCTGTGCTTCTCCAGCGCAGCAACGCTCAAACGGGCTTTCCGGTCCCTGACAGAAATGTTCCCGAACGGGAGCTTACACACAGCGTGTATGGTGTCGCCGCCGATGAGCCGGGCCGCCGAGTTGGATGGAGCACACTTTCGCACGGATTCGGCTCCCAAAAAATAAGAGACCAATGCCTCCGTAACGCGGAGCACCGCAGTTTTACCGGTGCCGCCAGGGCCCATGAGCGCGAGCTGAAAGCCGTCCGCCAAAGAGGAGCTCGAAGAGCACTGCGATCCGGACGGGTCGTCCAGGGACCATTCCCGATTCATCACGTCTTGCAGCCACAACGCATTCCACAGAAGCGCCCGCGCCTGCTTCACGTTGATACCGCCCACATCAGGGATGTCGAGAACCTTTTGGCTCAACAAGAACAGCGCAGCCTCTACAACAGACGTCGATGACTTACGGGCCAACAAGGGCACCTTGCGCTCAAGTGCTACGGGAATACTCGCCATCGCCGCGTCGATGCGTTGCTGTAGCACATCTGACTTCGTCTTCTCGACTTTCCTGACCATCTCGACATTATCCTCGCCCTCGTTGACGATCTTGAAAAATTTCTGCTGCATGTCAGAGACGATGAGCGACTTTCGTGCTGACAACGAGCACTCTTGGAACGCACCGTCGCCGTCAGCGGCAGCTGTGCGCCCCGAAACGCACTTCTTTTCCTCTTCGATAAAGCCACGGAGATATTTTGCCTCGTTGGATCTGCTTTTCGCCAGAGTATCCGAGTTGACCAGTTCGTTCAAGTCAATCTCCACGGTTCCGCAAAGCTGGCTGACTGGATCTGCTTCGCGACCCGACGCGCGAGGAACTGCCGCATCACTGGGGGCATCGTCCTCCATCGCAGCATCGCCGCGACTCTCGTCCGAATCGGACTCCATCAACATCTCCTCGTCGTCGGCCCTGTTCGGATCTGGGCCATCGATATCGGCAGCAGCGTCGGGATAACCACGGAGAGCGTCCCCTGTCGGCACACGATCAACAACCGATACGTGGCGCTTTGCGACGAGGTCGTAATTCCTCAGGCATTCACACACGCGACAAGCCCACCATTCCCTGCTGAGAGGTGGCGTATCACTACGTGCTCGAGAAGCGATGGACTCCTGAGTGCTGCGCCAATCCTCGAACTCATTCAAAAATGCGCCGTAGTACTCCGCAGGTATGTGCGTCCACGGCGCGGGCGGGGCGCGACGCAGCACGTCCTCCACTGTTCGGAAAGGTCGAAAGAGCAGTTGCACGTACACCGCGTACTTAACCTCGTCTTCTAATCTCTTAGCTTCGTCATCTCCGTCTTTCTTTGCCTCCGGGCACGGAGGGAGAAATCCGCGAAGAACAGGTATCCGCCACGCGATGCTCAAGCGGACGGCCACGTAGTACGCGTACTTGTATAGCTCAGGCCCGAGGGGGTGATGCTCCGAAGGATCTCCGCGCAGAGGCACTTTTTCGTGCTCCCGGCTGTATAGCTTTTCTGCAGAGAACTGACGCTTACCGTCGGCCGCGACGTGCCACGCCAGAGTGTTCACGGGGCGATGTCCGTCAGGGCGAGCTTGCCGAGCTTCGCAAGCCGCGAAGAAAAAGTACAATGGGAAATCCTCCAGCTCGTCGGGGCGGTAGAGGTAATCGTACTCCGTCAGGAACGGCCTTCGGTAGAGTTTGGTAGAGTACGGACGCGCGGCAGTGGAGGGTCCACTCGTCTCTGCACCGGTTGCGACCTCGCTCAACCTTTTCGAGATCAGCATGCTGAGGCCTGGCGTCAAGACGGTAACGAACTCGTGGCTAGAGTACAGGGTCGGCTCCTCAAGCAGGTAACTGAGCATCTCTGGAAACCCTTGTGCATCCTGTTGTTCGTCGCCGACAACAGCCTGTGGAGAATCCGCTTCGCCTTCTCGTGCACGTTCTCAGGCTCGTCGCCGCGGCCAGCAGCCTCCTTCGCGTCTTGCTCTTTCTGATGGAGCGAGACTGCAAGAGTCAGCACGAGTCCCTCCGCGTGCGGCGCGGACTTGCTAGAGTATGACGAACAGTAAAACTCATTCGCCGCCTGCTGCTCTATCATTCCCGCTCTGGCGGTGGCAACCTCTGCCTCATCGGGCACGGCGTCTGGGCTGCTGCTCTTCAGAGCGCACAACCGCGGGAGCACTTGGATGTCGTGATTGCACTGCGGGCCGAGCATGATCGGGTAGGAAAGCTTGAAGTGCCACTGGTGCGTCGTCTCCAGAGCCGGCAACCCAACGTGTGGATACCCTAGAATCGGCGGAGGCCCAACGCCATCCCATCGAGGATGCAGCTGCAAGCCATGCTGTCGTTTGGCGACGAGGCGCCCCGTCTTCGGGTCCCCCACCTCCACGAGATGCCAATAGAACATGCGGCAGAAACCACGCTTTCCGAGACGCCCCTTGTGACAGACGGACGGCTTGCACACGTGGTTGCCCGTCTTGCGACTCCTTGAAAAAATCTCGACAACAGCGCGGCTGCCCCAGTCGCTACCGGACACGTTCTCGTCGCCGTGATACGAACCCACGAAGAAGGGATACTCAGGCACGCTCCTGGATAGAGCAGGCGGCACGTCGAGTCCGCGCGCCACAGTCTGCGCGAGGTTGCTCTCCTCAACGCGAGCGCTGCCGATCATGCTCCGCTGCTTCAGAGTCACCGGGAACAACGGCAGCCCGGCGGTGGTTCTCATAGCCACAGGAACGGCGAAATGATGCGCTACGGCTTCCTGGCTGCGGAACATGACTGAGGCGTGATAGTAGTGGAGACGCTTAAATTCGTCGAGGAAAGAGTTCTTCTCGAAGATATCGTCGGGATGCGAGAAGCCAAGAATCTGCACGAGCATGTGTATGTGCAGCGCCTTCCGCATCTGTTCCTCAACAACTCCGAGATAGGAGCGCACGTACCCGAATACACCGGGCACCTCGATCGCCGCGATGCCATCCGGAGGCAGGTTCGAGGGTCCATCAGCGCAGTTGAATATATAGCGCATCACGTCTTTGACGGTCGAGTGGAAAACTTTCTGGGCATAGTAAGGGTCTTGCGCCACGCGACGGTGGAGAAGACGAGGGTGCTCTGCTTGAAATTCTTTCATCCAGTCCTCCGCCTCCTTGTCGCTCATGTTCAGGGAGAATCGCCTCTGCATCTCCGTGCCGTCCTGCACCAGTAGCACCGTCAGCGGACTGCGAATGTCGTGGGGATTCAGCGTAAAGAACAAAGTCGAGCAGCCCGAGTTTATCTGAAGAGCTCGGAAATTCCACCTGTACGAGTCCCGCTCTTCGGCAGATCCACGCACTTTCCGGGACACGGCCTGCATTTTTTCAGCGGCTGTGCGGACTGGTTGGGTCAACTTTTTATTCCTCAGAAGATCGCTCATGCCCTTCGCATCACCTCCCATCGCGATCGCGGCGGCAACCAAACCTTCCGCTGTGATCTCGTTCATCCTTTGCATCTCATCGGGAGTTATGCCCATGAAGCCGCCGCCGGGCGTCTCCCTCATGCACGCTTCCACCTTGCTCATCTGATCTCGACGCATAAAGATGTTGACCACGGATGCGACGAACTCCAGGTCCTTCCGCCAGTAATCACAATCTGCTCGTTTAAGTAAGCACTGGATCCACTTATTGGAAGACAAGAACGATACGGTACTATCCGCCGCTTTACGTTCTGGGCATGTTTCCTGACAATCTCCCCGAGGAAACAGCCGAACGAAGCAGGACGCCCAAAAGTTCGGCGTGCGAGCAGACAAGAACGTGGTCTCGTGCGTGATCTTCAAGGGCGCTCTGTCGTCAGTCTCCGACCGCGCCCACTCTTCCAAACGTTTTCGCATCTTCTCATTCGACAGCTTCTCCAGGTCTTCGATGGCCTGGGCCATGCTCACACCGTGCATTCTCTTCTTCTCGGCGCGAGCAGATAAGTCGGCGGGGTCTAGAGCGGCCAATTCCTCTTTAAACCGCTGAGCCGCCTTAAAGTTTCTGATGACCTGTGCCCACTGCTGCAGGGAGTCGACGTCTGCTAAACCGCCGTTAACGACGGCGGCGTTCTCCGCCTCTTCGGGCCCGTTCTCCTCCGTGTCGCGTTCACCTTCTTCCGTGCAGTCAGCTGGTCCTTTAGACTGCACCGAAGCTCTTGAGCCGCTGATCGACGTCGCCGAGTCGACGAGCTCGCGCGGAACGCCCGAGGATCCACCAACGCTCGTCGCGTACGCGTCCAGCAACTCCTCGATCGACTCGTGGAGTAAGCCAGAATCCGCACATGCGGCATGGTGTCGCGTGGCTTCCATGTGGTTCCAGCTGTTGGAGCACAACCAACGAAATGCTGCTCGAAGTCGCGCCACGGAAACTTGCAAGTCAGGATGATGCCAGATACCGTCAGCGCGGCTTCCCACGAACTGGACGATCAGAGTGTGCGCCAGGGCCATCGGCGACAGTCCGATGGCAGTCAGAGCCGCGTCCGGGCTCTGCGGGTACGCAACAACGTTCTTCTGGCGATAGCGCGGCGCCTCGTCGGCACTCGTCCTGGCGAAAGACGCCCTGTCCAACAACACGCGCTTCACGCTGACGTACACCCTCGCCAGGTTGATCACCTTGCACTCGGTGTACGTTAAGTTCGTCAGCTCTTCCGGGTCAGGACCACGCCACATGCCATTCGCGAGAGCCTCGCTGGGCATGCGTACGCGCGGGCGGCACCGCCCGCGGCTGTCTGTGTGCGTGTTCGACAATGCTTCGGCGCACTCCTTGCACATGCTCACGCGAAGATCTCCGCCGCTGCCCTCGGGCGCATCCGTGCATACTGCGGACTTGTACAATACCCACCGATGATTCGGATCACCTGGGGTGCGCACAAGACAACAGCCTGGTCTGCCGTGCTCCTCGTCTTGGTCTGCCGTGCTCCTCTCGGTTCCTGCGCGCGGTCTGCCGTGCTCCTGTGGGGGGCACGGCAGACCACAGGAGCACGGCAGACCACGCAGGAGCACGGCAGACCACACCTCGATTTTTTGAGGATGTCTCGAGCGAAATGGCCGTGGTCTGCCGTGCTCCACACGGGAGCACGGCAGACCACCTGCTCATTTTCTGAGGACGTCCCGAGCGAAAACGTCATTTTTGACATAAGAGGTTCTAACGACAACAGAAGCTGGACAACGAGAGAGAGCGCCACCTGGAGAGACAACGGGGCGTGCTGACGTGTGGAGCACGGCAGAGCACGGCCATTTCGCTCGAGACATCCTCAAAAAATCGCAAAGTGGTCTGCCGTGCTCCTGTGTGGTCTGCCTTGCTCCTGGGGGGCAAACCAGCAACACGTCAAGAAGTTACCCAGGGGACCAATCAGCAACACGTCAAGAAGTTATCCTGGGGGGCAAACCAGCAACACGTCAAGAAGTTATCCCGAAGGGGCAAACCAGCAACACGTCAAGAAGGTGCTGAGGGGGGCAAACCAGCAACACGTCAAGAAGTTATCCTGGGGGGCAAACCAGCAACACGTCAAGAAGTTATCCTGGGGGGGGCAAACCAGCAACACGTCAAGAAGTTATCCTGAGGGGGCAAACCAGCCACAGGTCCAAAAGATGCTGAGGGGGGCAAACCAGCAACACGTGAAGAAGTTATCCTGACGGGGCAAACCAGCAACACGTCAAAGGTTATCCTGAGGGGGGCAAACGAGCAACACGCCAAGAAGGTGCTGAGGTGGTCGACCACCAACACTTCAATAAGTTACCCTGAGGCAAAACCAGCCACTCGCCAAGAAGTCATCCTGAGGGGGCAAACCAGCAACACGTCAAGAAGGTGCTGAGGGGACAAACCAGCAACACGTCAAGAAGGTATCCTGGGGGGGGCAAACCAGCAACACGTCAATGCGGTATCCCGAGGGGACCAAACCAGCAACACCACTGCCGTGCTTCTTTGGTGTCTGCCGTGCTCCTGTGGTGTTTGCCGTGCGAACGTGTGGTCTGCCGTGCTCCTGTGTGGTTTGGCGTGCTCCTGTATGGTCTGCAGACCACCTGCTCATTTTCTGAGGACGTCCCGAGCGAAAACGTCATTTTTGACATAAGAGGTTCTAACGACAACAGAAGCTGGGACAACGAGAGAGAGCGCCACCTGGAGAGACAACGGAGTGCTCCCGCATGTCTCTCCTCAGATTGTCTTCCCAACGGCGCACGCGGTCGACCCAGTTCTTTGCGTCCTCCACCTTCGTGAACCCGAGCTCGTGCGGCTCCCCGCGGCTGCACGCCTCCACGCTCTCTCGCGCTTCCTGGGCTCGCTCAGACACCTTGAAGAACTTTTTCAAGTACTGTTCAATGCTGAGGAGCTTGTCGACCTGCTCGTACCACGTCTCCTTGTTTTCATTCCAGAACTCATCGGACCACGATAACCACTCCGGGCACGTGTCGCTGCTCGACGATGGGATGTGAACTCGATTCAAGTCGCACTTGGGCGTCTTTCGACAGCAGACGGCACAGGCATCATGGACGCATCGTTCGTCCGTCTGCGCATTCTTGTACTGCGCCACACAAAACCTGCCCACCTGCGGACTGACCGCGTCCAGGCCCTCTGCGAGCGCCCGTTCCAGCACTGTCCTCCGGTACGTCTGGAGAATGTCTTCGCCGTCTCGTTGATGGAGATCATGCCTGCACTCCTCGCAGGTGCCGTCGCTTGTCGTCGTCGTCGGAGCCGCCCCACGGTTGCTTGCAGAAGCGGCAATGGTTCGGGTCCATGTACTCGGGCGTCTCCGCGTACTTCGGCAAGGACCCGGGCTCGGGCTTTGCCAGAGCGAGGAGTACCTGCAAAGCGGGTGCGGATCGGGCGACGCCGTCGTCGAGCCTCTGCGGTCGCGGCTCGTCGGCGAGGAACTTCCTGCTCTCGTCACGGACGAGGTCTGCGAGCCTCTCCTCCCCGAAGCATTTCTGGCAAAAGTGCTGATATACCCTGGCGGTCCGGGCTGGTTTGACACCGCATCCGATGCACTTGGAGCCAGCTGCCTTCCAGCACACGTCGCACAGCGCCGCGCTCTTCTTGAAATGCGACGAGCACACAAAGCAGCTCCTCACGACTTTGGAGCAGCTCTCTGTTCCGCATTCGATCATGGACACCTGCAGCGGTTCCTTGGTGGCGGAGTCCTCGGTCCTGTAACAGAATGCGCACTCGGGGGAATCCCAATGTGTTTTACACAGGCCCGCCGCCCGCTGCTCTGGTGTTGTGCACTCAGGACACCACAGAGCGAGGTTGTCGCACATCTCGCACTGCGGGGTCTCCAGCGACGCCGGCGGCACACCGTGGCAGACGGCGCACGAGCGCGCAGCGAAACAGGCCTTGCAAGCTCGCCGATATATCACTTCATTTCGACCTCGCATCCGACCGCAGTGCACGCAGCACCGACCGTCCTGGGCCCAGCACGACTGGCACTTCGCTTTCGATTGCCCGTTAGACATGCCAGAACACGCGCTACAGAACACCACTGATGCGTCGCAAGATTCGTTGCTACACTTCGACCGAGTCAAGGAGCCAGCAGGAGTCGGCGCAGCGCAGTGCGAACAAGGGATCGAAGATGTAAAGCACTCGGAGCACAGCTTGAGATTGCGCTCCTCAGGCGAAGTGTGCGTCGGACACGCCATAGCACATCTTTTTCCCGCGGCCTGCGGGTGCTTCTCGCGTGACTCGCAGGCCACGCACAGCGTTGGTTCGTCTTCCTCGTTGCACCAGGTACACTCAGGGCAGCTGCGAGACCGATAACACGGCTTACACATGCCACCGCTGAGCTCGCGCTGCGCACCGCAGAATCGACAACATCCCTTTCTCTTCTCCTGCTTCTGGCGGTACAGAGTAGGATGCTTCTCCTTGTAGCAAGACTTGCAGTAACCGTCATAACCGGACTGAGCCTTCGGGGGCTCCTCACCACGACGGGTCTTGTGATACCCTTTGCAATACTTGGTCGTCTTAGCAGCACGCGCTCGACAAACAAGAGACCCACAGAAAATCATATAGAACGCCAGTCGGAGCATGCCGAAAATAAACATCGGTAAGAATCGCCCCGAGGATCACCTACTGAAAGTTGGATCTCACAGGGCTAATAGAAGCACCTCCACCGCGCACACCCTGCCGCAGCTTTGCAACCACATTGAGCCCAATACAACATGTGCCAACAACATAGAGCACGTGAGAGAGCGACTTTAATCGTCGAGGGCTATCAAGAGCACCCACGGCATTGCGCACTGGAAATAATTGAAGGCGCGCTCCTGTGCTCTGCTATACTCCTGGCGTTGCCGTGCTGATTGGCCGTGTTGGTCTGGTGTGCTCCTGTGATACGCGGCGCCCCTGCGACCTGCACTGATCCTGAATGCTTTGCCGTGCTCCGGTGTGTTCTGCCGTGTTCCGGTGTGGCCTGCCGTGCTCTTGTGTGGTCTGCCGTGCTCCTGTTGGTCTGCCGTGCTCTTCTGTGGTCTGCCGTGCTCCTGTGGGTTCCGCCGTGCTCCTGTGGCGTCTGCCGTGCTCCTGTGTGGTCTGCCGTGCTCCTTTGTGGTCTGCCGTGCTCCTGTGTGGTCTGCCGTGCTCCTGTGTGGCCTGCCGTGCTCTTCTGTGGTCTGCCGTGCTCCGGTTGGTCTGCCGTGCTCTTCTGTGGTCTGCCGTGTCCTATGGGGTCTGCCGTTGTTCGGCCGTCTTGAGGGCACTCTTAGGGCATAGTCTGCCGTGCTCCTCGTCTTGGTCTGCCGTGCTCCTCGTCTTGGTCATCCTTTCCGTCGTCTTGAGGACGCTCTTGGTGCCTGGTCTGCCGTGCTCCTCGTCTTGGTCTGCCGTGCTCCTCTCGGTTCCTAAGCCTGGTCTGCCGTGCTCCTCGTCTTGGTCTGCCGTGCTCCTCTCGGTTCCTCCTGTGGTCTGCCGTGCCCCTGTGTGGAGCACGGCAGACCACAGGAGCAAGGCAGACCACACAGGAGCACGGCAGACGCCACCTCGATTTTTTGAGGATGTCTCGAGCGAAATGGCCGTGGTCTGCCGTGCTCCACACGGGAGCACGGCAGACCACCTGCTCATTTTCTGAGGACGTCCCGAGCGAAAACGTCATTTTTGACATAAGAGGTTCTAAAACACCTCTGTCGGCATCTCATTTTTTCGAGGATGTCTCGAGCGAAACGCTCATTTTTCATGCATAACAAAAATTTTTGATATTTTTCAACATCCCGATTTTTTGAGGATGTCTCGAGCGAAACCGTCATTTTTGACATAAGACGTCTTAAACGATAGCCTCCAACACCTCGATTTTTCGAGGATGTCTCGAGCGAAATGGCCATTTTGGGGAACCTGACCGGACAAGAACGGGAAGCGTCCTTTTGTCCCCTGGGCTTATGAGATATTCCACGTTTTTAGTACGGCATACCACAGCAGTGCCACGTACCACTGCCGTGCTCCTTTTGGGTCTGCCGTGCTCCTGTGGAGTTTGCCGTGCGAACGTGTGGTCTGCCGTGCTCCTGTGTGGTCTGGCGTGCTCCTGTATGGTCTGCCGTGCTCTTGTGTGGTTTGCCGTGCTCCTGTGTGGTCTGCCGTGCTCCCGTGGGGTCTGCCGTGTCCTGTGTGGTCTGCCGTGCTCCTGTGTGGTCTGCCGTGCTCCTGTGAGGTCTGCCGTGCTCTTGTGTGGTTTGCCGTGCTCCTGTGTGGTCTGCGTTTGCCCTGTGGGGAGCACGGCAGACCACAGGAGCAAGGCAGACCACACAGGAGCACGGCAGACCACACCTCGATTTTTTGAGGATGTCTCGAGCGAAATGGCCGTGGTCTGCCGTGCTCCACACGGGAGCACGGCAGACCACCTGCTCATTTTCTGAGGACGTCCCGAGCGAAAACGTCATTTTTAACATAAGAGGTTCTAAAACACCTCTGTCGGCATCTCATTTTTTCGAGGATGTCTCGAGCGAAACGCTCATTTTTCATGCATAACAAAAATTTTTGATATTTTTCAACATCCCGATTTTTTGAGGATGTCTCGAGCGAAACCGTCATTTTTAACATAAGACGTCTTAAACGATAGCCTCCAACACCTCGATTTTTCGAGGATGTCTCGAGCGAAATGGCCATTTTGGGAAATCCGCCAACGAACCTGACCGGACAAGAACGGGAAGCGTTCTTTTGTCCCCTGGGCTTATGAGATATTCCACGTTTTTAGTACGGCATACCACAGCAGTGCCACGTACCACTGCCGTGCTTCTTTGGTGTCTGCCGTGCTCCTGTGGAGTTTGCCGTGCGAACGTGTGGTCTGCCGTGCTCCTGTGTGGTCTGGCGTGCTCCTGTATGGTCTGCCGTGCTCTTGTGTGGTTTGCCGTGCTCCTGTGTGGTCTGCCGTGCTCCCGTGGGGTCTGCCGTGTCCTGTGTGGTCTGCCGTGCTCATGTGTGGTCTGCCGTGCTCCTGTGTGGTCTGCCGTGCTCCTTCTTGGTCTGCCGTGCTCATGTGGGGTCTGCCGTGCTCCTGTGCGGTCTGCCGTGCGAACGTGTGGACTGCCGTGCTCATTTGGGGTCTGCCTTGCTCCTTTGTGGTTTGCCGCGTTCCTGTGTGGTCTGCCGTGCTCCTGTGTGGTCAGCCGTGCTCCTGAGGCGTCTACGGTGCTCTTTTGGGGTCTGCCGTACTCATCTGGGGTCTGCCGTGCTCCTGTGGTCGGCCGTGCTCATTTGGGGTCTGCCGCGCGCCTGTGAGATCTGCCGTGCTCCTGTTGGGGAAACGCCAGCGGCGTTCGGGGTACAACAAAAAGGCGCGTTTCTGTTGTACCCGCGCGCGGTCTGCCGTGCTCCTGTGGGTTCCGCCGTGCTCCTGTGGCGTCTGCCGTGCTACTGTGGCGTCTGCCGGGCTCCTGTGTGGTCTGCCGTGCTCCTTTGTGGTCTGCCGTGCTCCTGTGGAGTCTGCCGTGCTCCTGTGTGGTCTGCCGTGCTCATTTGGGATTTGCCGTGCTCATTTGGGATTTGCCGTGCTCATGTGGGGTCTGCCGTACTCCTGTGTGGTCTGCCGTGCTCCGGTGGTCTGCCGTGCTCCTTTGGGGTCTGCCTTGCTACTGTGGGGTCTGCCGTGCTCCTGTGTGGTCTGCCGTGCTCCTGTGGTTTGCCTTGCTCCTGTGTGGTCTGCCGTGCTCCTTTTGGGTCTGATCTGCCGTGCTCCTGTGGGGTCTGCCGTGCTCCTGTGGGGTCTGCCGTGCTCTTGTGGGGTCTGCCGTGCTCTTGTGTGGTCTGCCGTGCTCCTTTGTGGTTTGCCGTGCTCCTGTGTGGTCTGCCGTGCTCCTGTGTGGCCTGCCGTGCTCTTGTGTGGTCTGCCGTGCTCCTGTTGGTCTGCCGTGCTCTTATATGGTCTGCCGTGCTCCTATGGGGTCTGCCGTGCTCCTGTGGGGTCTGCCGTGCTCATGTGTGGTCTGCCGTGCTCCTGCGCGGTCTGCCGTGCTCCTGTGGCGTCTGCCGTGCTCCTGTGTGGTCTGCCGTGCTCCTGTGGTCTGCCGTGCTCATTTGGGGTTTCCCGCCAGCTTGTGGGGTCTGCCGTGCTCCTGTGGGGGAAACGCCAGCGGCGTCCGGGGTACAACAAAAGGCGCGTTTATGTTGTACCTGCGCGCGGTCTGCCGTGCTCCTGTGGGGATTGCCGTGCTCCTGTGTGGTCTGCCGTGCTCCTGTGTGGTTTGCCGTGCTCCTGTGGTCTGCCGTGCTCCTTTGTGGTTTGCCGTGCTCCTGTGGGGTCTGCCGTGCTCCTGTGGGGTCTGCCGTGCTCCTGTGAGGTCTGCGGTGCTCTTGTGTGGTCTGCAGTGCTTCTGTGGTCTGCCGTGCTCATTTGGGATCTGCCGTGCTCGTGTGGTGTCTGCCGTGCTTCTGCGGGATCTGCTGTGCTCCTTGTGTCGTCTCTTTGGTCTGCCGTGCTCGTGTGGGGTCTGCCGTGCTCCTGTGTGGTCTGCCGTGCTCCTGTGGGGGCAAACCAGCAACACGTGAAGAAGTTATCCTGACGGGGCAAACCAGCAACACGTCAAAGGTTATCCTGAGGGGGGCAAACGAGCAACACGCCAAGAAGGTGCTGAGGTGGTCGACCACCAACACTTCAATAAGTTACCCTGAAGCAAAACCAGCCACTCGCCAAGAAGTCATCCTGAAGGGGCAAACCAGCAACACGTCAAGAAGGTGCTGAGGGGACAAACCAGCAACACGTCAAGAAGGTATCCTGGGGGGGGCAAACCAGCAACACGTCAATGCGGTATCCCGAGGGGACCAAACCAGCAACACCACTGCCGTGCTCCTGTGTGGACTGCCGTGCTCCTGTGGGGTTTGCCGTGATCCTGTGTGGTCTGCCGTGCTCCTGTGCGGTCTGCCGTGCTCTTGCGGGGTTTGCCGTGCTCCTGTCGGCTCT